CCACAATCTGTCTTACATCGAGGACAAGATCTTGAAACTTGGGTTTGTCAACCGCCGCCCACCACAGTTTTTTTGGGAACGATGCTTGGCTATGAATCAAATTCGCCCGCGCGAGAATCTCCGCCCGGCGGTCATTAGACACAGCATTGGCCAAAATCCCTGGGACATGCGAATGGTCTCCAGGATTTGAATCTGGCCCTTGAATTGAGCAGCCGTCAGTAGGCCGAAGATCGAGCGAGTATCGTTGCTTCAGCTTAGAGCTATCTAGTCTGTCTTTTAACTGGACCATCAGCTCTTCTGCGAGAGCCTGGTTGATTCGAGGTAAGATCTTGCCATCTGTTCCCACCAGGCCGACTGTGTCTGCCCACTGCACAAACCGGTATTCCTCCACATTGAGCATGGTCTGAAGGAAACTGGCATCTTTGCCAAGGTTGTGTGCTGTCGACAGAGTCACAAACCCTTGCACACAGCCGGCAAACACCTGAAAGGCTAAAGAGGGCACTGCAAGGGCAACTCCAGCAGCTGATATGGGGTCCATCGAGACAACGCAACTGCGCGAGCGTGTTATTAGAAGTTCTGGATCGAAAGCACGCTAAAAAGGATGGTGAAAATATTGATATTTGAAGGATGACACTTAGCGGGGTTAGGTGGATATTCTGCAGTGCTCAGCCTCACTCTTTCTCTCGCGTGGTGTCTCGTATTATCAGCTCAACTCAGAAACTGACGGCATTTTAGGCACATCACAGCCTGTGTTATGAAGAATGGCCTCCAGTTCCCTCTCAGGGCGAGCAGTCACATCGATCCTCCCTGCATCGGAAAAAGAGCCCGGATCGACCGAACGAGGCATTTCAAATTCCAAGTCCGACGCAGTCTTCGTCCCCCATGTGTTTGACTTTGTTAGCATTCACAATCCAACTGATTTCCGTAGCTCATCCCCAGTCCCTCCATTATACCTTGAACCGCTAGCAGTGGATCAGTCAATCATTGTCGGCTTTGGTGCCTCCTTCACAGTATTCAAAAGAGCCATTCCAGCTGCCCCGGCGATATATCAGACAGCCGACATGGGCGACTGGACCATGACCATTCCCAGATATCAAAAAAGCCCACCAAACCAAGTCGTCTACAAGGTTGCTCGTGTTGCATTTACTGAAACCGGAACACCAACACCTCCCACAAGACATGCGATGAAGGCCGCGTTGATGGAATTGTATGCTTTAAAGCACGAGCCTCTCCGACAGCATCCTAACATCATCGATCTGTTGGGTCTTGCCTGGGGTTCTAATTACTTTGACTCGTCACATCGATTACCGGTTCTGGTGGTGGAATATGCAGAGCATGGAAGTCTGGCAGATCTACAACAGAAACACGACCTTACACCCTCCGTCAGACTTCGTCTCGCGCTGGACATTGGCCATGGCCTGCAAATGCTCCATCGATGCGGGATTATACATGGGGATGTTAAGTCGGAGAATATCTTGATCTTCAGCCACCCGGAAAGGGAATACATCGCAAAGCTATCGGATTTCGGGTTCTCGATGGTCGGAGAAGCAGCAGATGCTGAGGTTTATGTCGGTGGCACGAGGCCTTGGAAAGCCCCTGAGGCGACATCCCCAGTTCCAAAACAATTCCTGCGAGCTACGGATGTCTACTCGTATGGTCTGCTTCTATGGCGTCTAGCGAGTGATGGCCACGACCCATTCCGCTTCTGGGCCCTGACAAGCGCAAGCTTACAGGGAGATCTTTATTTACAGGAACTTGAAAGGATTAAAGAGGACGACCATCCGGCCAAAAACACATCGCTGGACAAGTGGTTCGTCCAGTACCTATCTGAAAAATACCGAGATCAGCAAGCTGAACTATCAGACGACTGGGTCAGTCAATCATTGTGTGATCTTCAAGTGGAAGATACGAACAGGTCTGTCACCGGCTGGGAGGCTCTTATGAAACTTCTTGGTCCTTGTCTTCGGTCTCCTCAAAATGTGACTATGTTCTCAGGTCCGCTGCTCAGCTGGGCTGAGCGGGATCCCTTTTACGGAAGGCTCCCCTCTGCTCTGGATAAATGCCTGAGTATCGATCCCTCCAAAAGAGACTTGCGCGAGGCCATTGCGGCGCTTGGAAGTGATAGTCAGGCCGATGAGTATGCATTCCTTCATATCAATCAGGTTCTCTTGCTGACAATTTCCGATGGCAGACAAAGACAAAACACATCCGATATTCTTCTCCATTTCAGCTATGATGTGTGTTCCTGCTTGCATGCCAATTGATATAATTACTAATTCCAAAAATAAACAGCACCATTATCTCTCCTGGGAACAAATGCGCCAGCTGGAACCAGCAGTCCAATCATTCGTCTTCAACTGCTTCTACAACAAAGTCGAAAATACGATATCAAACAACCAAATAAACTGCCCAGACTGCTTCATCCTAGCATCGTACTATGTTAACGGCTACGGTACCAAGATCGACTATGAAGCAGCGAGACGGCTGATCAGCCTTTCATCAAACAAAGCCTACGACCATGCCTCTTCGCGTTCATACGCCTACCGCATTAACAAGGCTCTTGATCCACATTACACCTTAACACCGGCCACATACGACAATCTATCTGTGATGGTGCTCAGAGGCTCACGTCCAGCCCTTCTGGATCTAAAGGAAGTAGCACCCGCGCAATATGCATGGAGTCAGCCGGTTCTTCGTGACGTGATGGCTGGTGTTGGAGCGAGCTTTTTCCACAATATCAATATGCTGGGCGGGTTCCAACATTCCCAATGGATTTCGACATTCGATGCTACAGACATACTTGTTCGCAATCTAGGAACACTCAACCGAATCTCAGAGTGCAAGGTTAATAAACGGGGTGATAGAATATTGCACTTTGCGGCGTGTGCAGGTCGTATCCAGGCCATCGAGACCCTGCTGGACGCATTCCCATCCATGCATATTGACCAGCAAAATGATAAAGGGGAGACGCCGTTACTGTGCGCCTGCCGAGCAGGGCAGGTTGGGACTGTTTTGAGATTAGTTGAGCTCGGCGCAGATGCGTCAATCGCGGCTGCGAATGGTGAAACCTGCGTCCATTGGCTGCTGTCATTCGGAGACGAGGACGTCATCACAATCGGAGACGCTCTCATAAAAGGAGGCGCGAAACTGCGAAAATTTTCTCGCGAAAGAGTCGCGTACTCCGAGTTCAAAGCTGGCATCGATGTCGACTTTCAGCTTCCCGGTTCGCCCCTCACATGGGCCATTCATCATGACCGGCCCTGCGTCGTCCAATTCCTCTTAGAGGAAGCCCCAGGCGGTGTCTCTGTATGGTTTGACCAAGCCAGCGAGCCCCGTGAGTCACCACCACCGCTGGAATATGCCGCTTCCTATCACCATGTTGAATGCCTAGAACTGCTGATCGACGCCCTCGACCAAGCTAAAATGCAGTACAACATGGCACCAATCCTCAGAGCTGCAACCCACGCTGCAGACACATTCTCCATGATTCTCCGAAATGGTGCCAAATACGAGGAAAGACTGCATCAGACCCTGAAACTCTGTCTGACAAAGTCCAAGAGCACGGTCTTCGGATCCGGCGTCGGAGGATTCGATACGACTCTCCTGTTTTACGCAGTCAGCGAATGCCACGACAAAGTCGTAGAATGTCTACTATCCACGGAGGTCGGTCAGCTCGTTGAATCATTCGGCCCTCAGCCTGGAGAAGGTCCGTCCCGGCCTGGGGCATACATCCCAAGCGATATCAATCGGCCAGCGGGGGAGCACCGCCGCACTCCAGTCCTAGAGGCTATCCGGTGGAACAGGAGACCAATTGTCGAGCTCCTGATTACAAACGGCGCTGATCCAAAAGCAGTGGCCCGGAATCCCTTCAATGCCGATGAAATGAACTGGACCGGGTTTCATATCCTCGCCACGGCCGGCCACAACACAGATCATGCTGAGTTGGTGTCTTACCTAGTACTTGACGCCGGGCTGCACATTGATGGATATTATTCCAATGCCAATGGGGGCAGCCCAGAATTCGAAAGTAACCCCAGGTGCACGCCCGAGACGCCATTCCTTGTCGCTGTCCAGCACAACGCATTCAATCTCGCCTCTACGTTCCTCGAGTTTGGAGCACATCCTAACGCCGTATGCTCCAACGCGGGCTTGCTGTCTCTAGAAAACCCTACAACAGTGCTGGGTCATATAATCGCCGCTTCAGCACAACACTCAATCCCCCGTCTTCGATACCTCCTTGGGAAATCTTCCACGCATGGAGAAATCAAAATCAATTTCATCGTCGAACAATGTCGACAATTAAGCGCACTCCACCGCGCAGCCTGGGCTCACATGGGTGTCATGCATCGAACACCACATGCCAGTGATCCCCAATGCGCTTTCCTTACACGTGACGAGTACGACATGACCGTCAATCAAGATATCATTCAAGAACTTTTAGAGACATGGGGAGACGCAGAGAGTGTAAACCTCCGTTGCGGTGTCCATGCGAGAACCGCGCTTCATTTAGCCGTGGAAGCGGGGAACATCGCGGGCGTCCGAATGCTGCTTGAGAAGAAGGCAGACACTTCTATCTGTGATGGGTTGGGTCTGACAGCTGTGGAGTTGGCAAGGGATGTGTTGGGTGGCTTGGGTGAGGGTGAGGAGGAACAGGGGATATATGCAGGGATTATTTGCATGCTAAATAAATATCTCCCATAGCGAGAATTTTAGTTAATGTGGTAGAAACCCAGGTCTACCCCGGATTTCCGGAAATTTGAAACAAATTTGGGCTTTAGCTTCACCACTTTCCCTTCATGTTGGAATATTTGCAAGAATGGTCATCCGATGAAACGATTTGCCATCAATCTCGTCGTCTGACTCTGTTGAGCTCGGGAGCTTAAGTGGCCGACTTGGCGGGGGTTCCCCGCCGGATGATCTTTATGTCTCAGATCAGTAATCAAGCAGGTTAAAAGATCATCTCATTCTGGCAAGCAATCTTCTCACCAAACTCATTAGCCATGGGTGTTCATGTGGTTTCAAAGCTGGATAACCGCCAGCATGCGACCTTCGACCTCGAAGTCGCTCAGAAGGAACTATCGGAGTCTTCAGTAAGAATTCGCACGCAACTGATCAGCCTGACTTCAAATAATTTGACCTATGCCCTAATGGGCGAATTCTTACATTGGTATGTTCCCAATGTACCCAGACTACTGAGACTGTTGGAAAACGACCTGAAACTGGATTCTTATCAACAACTGGCAGGTGGGACACATACCCCGTCTCTGAAGACTATCCTGCGCCATACAACAACTCCTCGGCATGGGGCATCGTCCCAGCCTGGGGCTATGCAACAGTGGAAGAGACGACCATCCCAGAATTAACCAAAGGAACACTTCTTTACGGATTCTGGCCTACGAGCAGCACACCAACGGATCTCAAACTGAAAGCCGGCTCACCAGAAGGCCACTGGATCGAGACCAGCGGCCATCGACAGCAACTAATGCCACTGTACAACCGCTACACGGTAACTCCGACATCTCGCCCAATCTCCGACCTGACTACGCTCAATCCCCTTTCAGACTCTGCACGGGATGAGCTAGACCGCATGGCCTGGACCGTTCTGTTCATTGGCGGGGTGGCCGGGTTCGTTCTGAGCGAGTACGTTTTCTCGTTCAACCCACGCCAACCTCCTATCCATCCACTGGGGAACCAAGCTGGGTTGCACTGGACCCTGTCCGACGGGGATTTGTCATCCGCGGTCGTAGTAAACCTGGCCGCGTCGACTAAAACGGCCCGTGTTTTCTCGTACTACCTGTCGCGGAAGTCGGGTAGTTCGACACCCCTTGGTTTGTTGCAGGTTACATCAGCTGTGTCACGCGTCGAGGAGGCGGATCGGAATCTGTCTGCTTCTGTTCCTTCCAAGGTGGTCGGATATGAGAATATTGACTCTAAAGAGTCTGCAGAGTGGCTGGCTACCTGCAAGCCTTCGAAAATTGTTATCCTCGACTTCGGTGGTCGTGAAAATGCTCTCAAGGACACAGTTTCCTTGATCAAGAGTCATGTTGGGTTACAATCTTGCGAGGTTGTTATTGTCCAGGTTGGCAATGAGCAGAAAGTATACTCGATGGAGGAGATGATTGCTAGAAGAGCAGCGATGGAGGAGCTTAGAAAAATTCAATTCAACACTTCGGGTGTTCAAGACACGATACTAGAGTCTGTCGGTCCGGAAGCTTACTTTGCAACGAGAGGTGCACAGTGGGAAAAGTGGCTGGATGATCGACACCTGAGCGTACCGGGAATGCAGATTGCGTTTGGCAGCGGTGTCTCTGGTGTCTCTGGTGTTGAGGGAGGGTGGGATAGACTGTGTCATGGACAAATAAGAGCTGAAGAGGGATTGGTCTACAAGATGCAATAAACCTTAGAAGTCGACATGGATTAGTTTGAGTATAGTATTTAACGGATAGAAAGAGAAGGTATCCATGAATATGAAGCCTCAAGGCGATGGACCATGTCCTGGAATCCATTAAAAATGGTCCAACATCAACACCGGGGTAGAAAAAGAGTGAAAAAAGGATTCCAAACTTGAATAGATTATACAACCTCTTCATATCGGGGAACAGGCTCCATGGCGTGAATACTCGCACTTTGCTCACTCGAAGAACGCGCAGAATTGATCTCCACTAGCATCGGGGGCCCATGAAGATCCATTTGAGTACCCACCGCTACTATCAAATCCGAAAAACGATCACTGTAAGCTGGAGGAGGACTTTGACTTCCCTGGATGTGTTGCATATCTTGCCCATGGACAGACGCGTCGTCTCCAATCACATTGGGTGTCATATAAATCTTAAATGGCATAACTTCCGTGATCTAATTCCCCATCAGCTGTATGTTATAAATCCGCAAATAGGTTATTTGCATACCGCAGCTGCCCCGCCCCCTGCCTCATCGTGGAACTCAGCAGTGACGGAAAGCTCATGGGTGATCTTGATGTGTCTGGTCGACATACTCTGCGAGCAGGCGTTGAGACTCTGAGGCAGAGAGACGGGAGTAGTGAAGCGCCATTCAATTTCCGAACCATCTACAGGAGACTCATCTTGAGACAAATCGATGGTCTTGGAGAAGACCGTTTGAGTTTGCGCTGCAGTAATAAACCGCATGTTGTGTCGCACTGATTCTGCAGCAGTAGCTTCCAACCGCGCAGTTTGTTTCTCGATCACTTTAATTGTAACAGTGTTGAGCTTGGCGTATTTCAATAGCGGTGCAAACCAGCATTCCACAGGAAATGTGCAACCAAAGGGAACATTCCGGTCAGTGATGGAGAGACAATACTGGATATTTTCGTTGGAGTGACCCTCGAGAGTCTAGATATGTTCAGTTATTTGCGTATAGCAAAACGTATCCAATGGTATGGACTAACCAGTGGGCAATGTGGTCTTGAATAGCTTGTTTCCAAATCGGAAACCTGGTAAATCCTAACCGGCTGCGAGACCACGAAATCGCTTTTGAGGCGGCGCTCGATAACTCCCTCTACGCGATATGTGTGATATTGATGGTTCGCGCCAGTTGCCGTGTCGAAAATCTTACTTGGAAGTGGAATATCAAATAAAAATGCGTGCTCTCCAGCCGGCATTTGGAATGCGCTGAGCGTTTTGGAAGAAGCTAGTGGCTGTTCTCGCTCGAATGTGATCTGCTCGCGACTGTCTGAACCCAATATTCCCTCGATAGGACTATAAGCATGAGTAAGAAGATAGTCAATAACGAACTACGTGGAAGTCCTCACACTGCAAATGTTCCCCTCAATCTCACTTTGATACTTTTGACCGAGACGGCTTGTGCAAGCGAAATATTGAGTCTTCCAGTAACAGACATTGGATGCCGCTCTTCTGAAATAAAAATGCATGCTTTGTCAAGACTAATAGAACATGCGTTAGGTTATGATGGAAAAGGTAACAAGGAAATCATACCTCAACTCGGAGCTGGTAATGTGTTCTCGGAACATCATCAAATATCAAAGTAGTATTTAACTTGACAGTTAGATCAAGAATTCAATTGAATATCACCTGGCAACCTTGTGAATTTATAGCTGGCGAATAATGGCGCATTGTGTGTCTGTCTACTCGTGTCCACGCGACGGAGCGGACATTCCTAAATGGGGTCGGGAAGCTGACTTCAAGGACTTGAGCCCTACCTACATATGTAGGTACAAGCGCAGCTCTTCACCGCGGAAGGAAACTACCGACATTCCTGTGATGCTGTTTAAATACGTATGTTGCAATAAGTCGCCAGGAGCTTCCAAGGTCAGTCCTTGAAGATTGTTTCCGGCGAATTTGCTAGGGGCATTGATCTATAATAGATCATATGACTGCTACGTCTGAAAATACACAATCTGTCATAGTAATTGGACTTCAAACAGTATATTACTAGAGCAAAACTTGGAAGAAGCGTACACAGGACACTCTGACGCTATAATGATGTTTTTTTACACGAGGTCTCTCTATACAGCGGCACACTCCCACTAAACTAGTTCGGGTATGCTTTCCGATGGCCGCTGTTCCTTACCTGTCTCTCACGGCTATTAAATTCCATAGCGACTCTAACAGCGTGGTCTAAAAAAGCGGCCACCGGAAGATATACCTGAAGTGGTTTAGGGGGAGTATATAGTGCTTCTCTTCTTCACATCTCATGAGTTTGATATTTACATATGTGCTCCGTAACACCATGATCAGACGACTCTCTTCCCATGCCATATTAAATGCAAAAATAGCAGAAGAGGCACTCAAAGGTGTATCCACGCAAGATTTGCGACCGAGGTCTGTTCTCACCTTCGTGCACTCTCCGTCAAGCTAGACTGTGAGGAACAAATTCGAAGTCGGACATGTCGAGATCTAGCAATAATTGATCATTCGCGCAGTTTGGAAAACCGACATCAAGAAAATTGCCGAAAAATGTATCAAAGTCCTCGATTTCAGTGGCTGTTAAAAATGGCGTGTTGTCTATTTCGAAATTTGAAGGTCTGTCCGATCCAAGTCGATGATCAGGCAGAGGGTGTGTGCTCTGAGACCCTGCATTAATCCGTCTCGCCACATGCGGAATGTCGATAGCCGAGTGCGACTGCATATTATCAGTGGAAACAAGCGGCCGTGAAGATACATGGCTCGATTCATGCTGAGAGTTTAGTCGGGTGATATTGATTTCTGGACCTGTGGAACGTTCTAGGTATATGGTGGGTTGGAGGTTGTTCAACACACGCTGGCCTAGACGAGCCATCACAGCAGCCGACCACCATGTGGTACGCATTTCCTTGAGACACTGATGGAACAGGCGAAGTTGGGAAATGGCTGTGTGGCGCGCACTTGGCAGTTTGCTTTCTCTCAGCTGCTTATACGTGACGGAGAAGACGAGCGAGATGGTGTAACCAATCATGGGAAACGGCAGAAAGTTCCGAATATCATGATTGCAACTGAGTGACGCGATGGTAAGTATTGAATGACTTTGTCGGATTTTCGATGCTCGTGGCTGCGATCGGCCTTGCAACCCGTGGGAATGTGTCAAGAGAATAATCACAGAATGGTATACAAGCTCGAGGGACTCTGTCGGTCTAGGGGTCAGACAATGTTGCAACTAAACGACAGAATGTTTCATACCAAGCAGGTCTGGGGACATGTCCCAGGCCTCACAGTGGTCCACAATATCTTCAAAGGTGGGAAGGTCGAGTTCACTCTGATCCATGCCCTTCATGATCGGTCGGTAGAAGTGAATCACTTCTCCCAGCTTGTCGGCAATTCGAAGCCAGACACGGAAAGGCGATTGAAACGTTGAAACAACGTCGTCAACCCCCTGGCTCCTATCTCCATCATGTATCATTAGGGGTCTCCCGTTCATAGCAGCGTTCCATCGATCTAGGCTCCACAGACACCAGAAAAGACTCTTGGAAGCTGTATCAGAGTGTTGGTCTGGCCTCAGCAAATGCAACCCAATGGTCTGGGCGTGGTGAATAGCCTGAGCCAGATTCAAAGAGCCGTCCTCGGATCCACTGGAGCCCCATTCATGCAGCGACAGAAGCGCCAAGATTTGTATTGCAAGTGTTTTCTTCTCAGCCCAGTTGTTTTGCATAGCATCAGTGTAGAGGATGCTGCTGAATCTCTCTAGTGGCAGGGGGTTCGAATTGGGGCCAAGGCATAGGAAAGGCACCGCACCCTGGTCCTTAGCTGCAACAAGACAAATCACCTGCAAAAGCCGGAGAGGGAGAGTACCCGCTCTGTGCTGGGCTCGAATGTTGTCTTCATCAAGAAGAGGCAGTAGTGGATGCATCCGACGAAAATATATATCTACCAAGGCCTCTTGGCAGTTTTTAGAGGGCAGCCAGTTGGGGTGAACATGGGTCTCTAGCGCTGTCTGTGAAGAGGAGCCAGGGGTGTCACCCTGATCAATGGAGCTCTCCCTGGAGCTCAACCATGCACCAACATCCCCTTTCTCCGATCGGCCCTCCTGCAACCTTGACTCATTCTGTTCTATGAGGGTCGCTATAGGGTTTGAGTCGCACGCAAAACGACGAGATTCTTTATCAACTTCCGCAGCTGTACCCGCATCAAGGGGGATGAAAGATTCTACACCCCGTTCCACCGGATTCTGGAGTGAGGAGCCACTTGGTCGCTCACCTCGTGGAGATGCAGATCTATTTCGGACAGCTGGATGCCGTCTTGAAACCTGAGATGCAGGACTTTGGCTACTTGTGAGATCAGAGACGTTGGGCGAAGAAGCAGCATCAGCTAATTGTTCCTCGGAGGTGTTGTGGTAACACCGTTTCTGTCAAAGTCAGTCTACAACTCCAGTTGTTGGGGCCATCTCGGACAGGATGCGACACCTTTTTGTGACGACAAGAGTTACACGCACGCCGTGCATGTCCCCTCTTGGCATTTGTTCCATCGCAACTAACCAAGAAAGTCAGCTCCATTGTGGATGATACTCAAATTGCCTGGTTCATCTCGTTGGCACGTCGTTGCGGGGCTCTTCCCTCTCGAGGGCGGGAACAAGAAGTACGCCACCGGAGCGGCGACCGTGTCCCAAAGCGGAAAGTCCGAACTTTTAGCATGGTGTCTCCACAAAGGATGCCAGGACTAAAGAACGTGCTACAGAGCAGAGACCTCATTCCCCATACATTCGAGCTCACTGTCGCGTATTGGGCGAGAACCTTTCCTTGTTCCTCTTTGGCTATTGGAAATGGTTCCGCAGAATATGAGGTGGGTACCGAGGGCCGGGAATCCCCGGAATGGTTTCAGCATGGGGAGAGGTGCTGAGTTTCCACTAAGGAGGATATGGAGCACTCCCGTCAGGACAGCTGAACATTAATCATAAAGGCGATGACTCGAACAAAATTGATTCAAATATTCGAGGGCTACTGCTGAGGATAGGGGCTCTGTGCGTGCCATTGAAGCCTTTCCGACTGTCGACGGACCCACTTGCTCAGAGTTTGTGACGGCCCGGCCCTTTCCTTCTATTTCGTCGTTATCTCCCACCTTTCCAAAGCAGAATATAGTCTTCCACCAGTTAGTTTCATGTTCGTCGACACGACGGCCCAAGTCAATCGGAATATCGCACAGTTTGGTCCGTTAAGCAGCCTGTAGATTGTCAACAGTGGTATACTTGTATTCGCAACGCCGGTTCGCGGAAGCCGTCAACGATTCCGCCAATCTTACAGACAGAGTATATGCCCCTGCAAGGAACAATACAGTGAGGTAATTTCCATTATCATATCCCGACAGGTCCTGGATACCCGGCTATTCCGCCAGTGGAGTGCTGTCAGATAGTCGAAGTTTCATAGGACTTCGGACACCTATTAATAACTGAGAACAAATATTCTTAGGCTCAAGGAAGCAATTGATGCTGGACGTGCTCCATTTGGAGTAGCCACTGATTTAGGAGGGTCTGTAATTTTTGTAAAAAAAATGTAAGGGCCGGTTAGTATTTAAAGAGAGGTAAGATAATATAGGATATCTATTAGTATCTAAGCTAGTATCTAGAGGAGAAGTTATTAGCTATATATAGTTCTAACCCGATATAATTTATATTTACTAAGATTAATTTTAGCCTCATGAATAATTATGATAAGGCTAATATTGTATCTTTGTAAATTTAAAGCTCCCTAACTTTCAGGATAGCTAGGATTGCCTTATGGCCACAGCTCCCCAACCATGGACCCCCATCTCCAGACTTGAAACCCACCCGGACACGATTGCACAGATCTATCACACGGCTGGCGATGCGGCACTCGATATATGTCTAAATCGGACAGCGAACCACACAGGCCAATGAAATCTCGCATTTGCCACCCTACTTTGACTTGGCAACCGGGCAGCAACTTTTACCAGGGGACGCTCGTTCTCGACCTGTTGGGGACGAAACATCTAGCTGGACACGGAGCCCTCTTCCACACGGAGGCCTTCTTCCACACGGAGGCCTTCCAGCTCCGCATGGAAGAAGGCTCCATAGGGAAGAAGGCTCCGCTTGGAATCAGGCTCCGCATGGAATCAGGCTCCATAGGGAAGAAGGCTCCGCTTGGAAGAAGGCTCCGCTTGGAAGAAGGCTCCATACAAAGCCACGTCTAAGGGTTTTGCGTCTCTCCCTGCTAGACATTCATCTACTATCGTACTACCTACAAAGCTAGGTTTTTGTGCACAAAACTGCGTCTCTCCCTACGAAGCCATGTCTAAGGTGTTACGGACATGCCAGTTACCAATCGATGGCAGCCCCACATGTCGTACCGGCGGGCCGCTGAGAACCAGTTCTGTCGACCCACACCGCCTTCTTTATCGCTCATCCGGAGGCCCCCCCCCTCCGATAAGCAGGAACACGTGACCAGAAAGATACGTTTTTGTGTACAAAAACTCGTCTCTGAGATCACGTGACCGCGACTCCAACGGTGACTCCAGGGAGTCACCTAGGGAGTAGGAGACAGAGGATATATAATGACACTCATTTCCTGTACTTAATTAGTTCTTCGTCTTCAATCATACATTGTTACTTGGATTACCAGTGTGACTCTTACTTGATTATAACCTGACAACACCAATCAGTTGGCCAATACCCCGGTATAGACCCTCTGAGCGCTCTCCCTGGCATCGTTCCTCGATACCCTCAAAAGGACCTAACCTGTGGTAAGGCCTGTTGGCAGCAGTATAGTCACTAGCGAAATCTGCTTCCTCCCTAAGGACTGCTTTGCTTTTATCGGGACCCACTGCCAAGGCACTAGCGCCAAGATTTTATTGAAGGACATTAATATAAATTCCCTCCTGGATGTCTTAAGCTGTAATGTACAGCCGAAATACTATTTTTATTGACTAAAAATCTATTCTAACAGTAAGCCGATACAGTATGGCATTGTATGCAAGAACGGGTCTAATCTACCAAGACGCTGTATCAGCTTGCTGTTACAGAAAGAGAAAGCGTTTCTGAATGTAACAACGCTAGCGCAGTATCATATCGTAAGTTTACAATACAGCTGTTTCCCAGGATGAACACTCGGCACGGGTAGCGAGACGGGGACCTGGTTCAGTTAATGAGCGGAAACACTCCTAGTTAAATGATATGAAGTAGCTTGTTATACGTTCTTGGCGAGGCGAGTGCTTCGTAGATAATGTACCACCCGCGCCGTTTTGTACTGTATACCTTCAACTTCAAGCAATCTACAGCAACGACAAAAATCACAACAACGCTGCCGAGAAAGCAAAAGTGCCCAAGGCATCAACGTAGTGTAGTATAGTAAAAACTAATCGCGCTATGTATAAGAAGTCTCAAGAGAGTTTAGGTCTTTTGGAAGAGGAAAGATAGGATGTCGGCTGATCGGTAGCAGAATGCCCTCGAAGGATTTGCACAATCTCATCGTGTGCTTCAGAACAAGCGGCCTGAAGAGCGCTTCCGTATTTTCCACCCTGGGCGTTGGCATCGGCTCCGTGCTCGAGCAGCAGCTGCACAATCTTTTTGTGTCCTCTGTAACAAGCCTCCTGGAGGACGTTTCCGTATTCTCCACACGGAGCGTTGACATCAACTCCGTGCTCGAGCAGCAGCAGCACGACCATATCGTGTCCCCTGTAACAAGCAGCCTGAAGGGCGTTTGCGTAGCCTCCATCCTGGGCGGCGTTGACGTCGGCTCCGTGCTCGAGCAGTAGCTGCACAATCTTATCGTGTCCTCTATAACAAGCGGCCTGTAGGGCATTTCCGTATTTTCCACACCGAGCGTTGACATTGGCTCCGTGCTCGAGCAGCAGCAGCATAATCTTATTATGTCCTTCAGAAGAAGCGGCCTGGAGGGCGTCTCCGTATTTCCCACCCCGGGCGTTGACGTCGGCTCCGTGTTCGAGCAGTAGCTGCACAATCTTATCGTGTTCGCTGTAACAAGCAGCTTGGAGGGCATTTCCGTATTCTCCACGTTGGGAGTTGACATCAGCTCCGTGCTCGAGCAGTAGCTGCACAATCTTATTGTGTCCTTCAGAAGAAGCGGCGTAGAGGGCGTTTCCATAGTGGGCGTTTCCGTAGTAGCCACCCTGGGCGTTGACATCGGCTCCGTGCTCGAGCAGCAGCTGCACAATCTTATCGTGTCCTTCAGAAGAAGCGTCCTGGAGGGCGTATCCAAGGTCTCTACCCTGGGCGTTGACATTAGCTCCGTGCTCTAGTAGTAGCTGCACAATCTTATCGTGTCCTCTGTAGCAAGCGTCCTGGAGGGCGTTTCCTCGCCCACCCTGGGCATTGACATCAGCTCCGTGCTCGAGCAGCAGCTGCACAATCATATCGTGTCCCCTGTAACAAGCAGCCTGAAGGGCGTTTGCGTAGTCTCCATCCTGGGCGGCGTTGGCATCGGCTCCGTGCTCGAGCAGCAGCAGCACAATCTTATTGTGCCCTCTGAAACAAGCGTCCTGGAGGACGTTTCCGTATTCTCCATCCTGGGCGTTGACATCGGCTCCGTGCTCGAGTAGTAGCTGCACAATCTTATCTTGTCCTCTATAACAAGCAGCCTGGAGGGCGCTTCCGTAGTAGCCACCCTGGGCATCGACATCGGCGCCGTGCTCGAGCAGCAGCAGCACAATCTTATCGTGTCCTCTGTAACAAGCAGCCTGGAGGGCATTTCCGTAGTCTCCACCCAGGGCATTTATATCGGCGCCGTGATCTAGCAGTATCTGCACGACGTTTTCGTGCCCATTCCATGACGCCCACACGACGGCATACGTTCCTGTGTCATCAGGTATATTATTATCCCTATTATTAACATTAAGGAGGGTTTGAACCTCCTTCTTATGGCCGTTGAATGCTGCTAAGTGTAGTGCTTTTATTGTAGGCAGTGTCTCGCTAGGCATTACTGCGCCCCAAAAGATAGGGAACCAGAGTGAGAATAGCTTTCCACTCACGTCGTATAATCGATGCACTCGGTCGACCGTTTTTTGGTCCGAAGCCAAATCCATTTTCCTTACGTGATCGGGCCAGTGTATTGCTGAATAGTCCAAGAAATCGTGGACATTGGAGCAAAGTCTCTCATCATCACGCACCAGATCCTCCATTAGCAAGTATCGCAGACATACTCGAGCCATTTGGTTCTCAGCATCACTCAGTCTCAAGGAGTATACGAGACCAAAATTGTTCGAACTGCTCTTTGAAATAAGAAATTCTCTCGCAGTCTGATGGATGAGGTAGATCTTAGAGTTCTTGATAAAGATGAAAAGTCCACACAGACGACGGAGCTTCTTGCCTATTCGCGACGAATCAAGTCTAGCTTCCGCTGCTGTTCGTGACTGTGGGGAGGTAGCTATACCCAGTGCCATGGCTATTTCCACCGTTGTTAGAGGACGGCGCGCAGCAACAATAATCTCCAAGACCTTCCTCGCGGTATCTAATTGACCGGAAGGGACTCGACTAAGAATTTTTTGATATGCTTTATTCACTGAAGGGGGTATCATTCGGATCGATTCCTCGGCAGGCCGAAGGCTATCCTCGAACGTAGATCGGGCGTCATCCATAGCTAGATGTAGCCACAAATACGTGCGGTGTTCCATTTGAAGAAGTTGTTGCTCGAGTCGCTGGGTCACATCGTGTGACAGTTGTGTAGTCTTAGCTAGCTCTTTAACTTTCATTTTCACAACAATATCGATCTCCTTACGGACTTGGTCGTTGTTTTCCTCGCCCTTTAGATGTAAATGCGGGAAAGAATTTGTTATCGCTCTGAAGTGATTCTGGATATGGTCGTAGGGGCGACTGGTAACCAAGAATTTCAAACAAGGATCTTGTATTAGTGAAGACGACTGGTGTTGGAATAAATCGAGCTTCCCAATCAATCGACCCTGATCAACCTCCCGGCATTCATCTAGCGCATCGAATATACAAATCGTCTTGCATGATGCTTCAGCTGATGCGGCCGTCATAAAGATGCGCCAAAGCTCCTCAACCTCTTGTCGGAGCTTCTCCCCATTCTTTTCCCAGGACGGTATAGCATAACGTAATAGATCCGGCCGCTGATCGAAGAGCTGGTGAAGAACTGAGCACATTGCCGTAGCAAGATGGTTCTGTTCTTCATTGTCCTTAAAGAAAAAGTAACATACTTTGACTACTTGGCTAGCATCTTCCAAGTAGTCATCGATGATCGACCGAGCGAGTACAGACTTCCCGCAACCCGGATCTGCTGACACCCAGAGGAGATCGTGACCAGTGCTCTCCGACCAACGAATGTATTCAGAACTCTGTAGGGCCCATAGACAGGTTCCTTCAGCTTTTCTCGGGTTGATATTCTTTTGCTCCGCGTAGTTGGCGACCTTGAATATTTGATGACAAGCTCGTTGCTGTCCTGTCAATATTACTTCAATCTGCTCACGATGGTGCTGGTCTTGTTGATATTTAATTTCATTTAGACGCTGATTGGTGCCCCGTATCTCTTCTTTCATATCACCTAATCAGTATCGTATTAGCTAATGGCGCTTCTTGAAACCTAAGGCTAAGTTATAAGGTCCTTACTGCACATATCCACCACCAATTTTTCTTGTGAAACACGGCCCACAGGAACGTACTCTAGCAGCTCCTTTGTGTATGACGCTGCTGCTAAAGCCGCGTATCCTTGCCACTGCTTATTCTTATGCGAATCGGCATAATCGCAAATACCGCGGACGACTATGCAGGGAAAGTCCAGCATCAAACCGGCTGCCTCCATCTCAAAGCATAACGCTCCCGTCATCGACCTCAGCCGCTCCCTTGTTTCCCCATGTTTGATAACAGAATTCCCAGACGCGATGATGCCATAGTGGGGTTGCGGATGATTATCCTCGCGTTCACTTTTTGTCTCTTCCCATTCCGCAAGACATCCATTGCAGCTACTCGCATCCGGAGGATGATCGTGTTTGGCCTGAAATAGTCGATCGCACTGTACAGTAGGTCGGCCGAAGGCTTTTCGAGTTCGTGCGGTCCTTCCAATCGCACTTTGAAGATAATCCAGGTAGCGGGGGTCATCCCTTAGCGCCGCAGCTCTCATCATGCCAACTGCGGTCAATAGTGCTCTCGGGGGGCTGTTCAATGAGCCAGTTCGTTCAAAATCACCCCCTACAACAACCTTCCCCATGTCGTATTGGATCACACCACTACAAGTACCTTCGGGGTAGCTAATCACGACATCGCCGAGGCGAATATCATGGGCAGCCGACGGGATTCCGCCTCCAATTCCGACCATCACTCCAATTCGAAGTGACTTGGAGAAAGTGCGGATCATATTATTTGCGACAGTACTGGCTGAGGTGGTTCCGTATTGCCCTCCAGGAAGGCAGGCGATCACGACGTGGTGTTTGCTGATTCGGCCCAACATGTAGGAATTTGTGTCCGCTGCATCTTGCTCCTCGAGAATCCCAAAATTTTCGTCCAGCATCTCAGCGGCAGCAGCAGCCTCGATCGGGAGAGCACAGATCCAGCCAATTTGGAAAGTATCCAGTGGAGGGCGCGGCATGTGGACGGCCTAGGGTATTCTGTGGGGACAAAGGCTCAGTAATAACGTGTTAGAGAACGTTGAAAATGATCGGAATGATGAGCCGTCAGCTCGATCTCTAGAAGAGAGGAGCCTCATGGCAGGCGGGAGCAGCTCGTCGCCAGCGCAGCCCCTCCTCCAGCTGAAAGACAGCGCAGCAGCGCGGCAAGAGACGTGTTGTCATTGGCGACAGGCACCAGCCCACAGATCGGGCACCTCTCACGTGACACTATGGGGTGAGAAACGCCATACCCGGAAGGGAAGGGGTCGGATCAGCCACTTCCGCGGGCGACCGATACTCATGATGATGAGTGTAGACAGCGGAGGCAAGGCAAAGGTGGGCAGGCGGTCGAGAGTGGCAGGACGACGGTGCAATGGGAGCCGTTTCTGGCGGCCCGCTCACCGTGTCCTCGTATACTATTTTACTTTTACTTACTAACTTTCTATATAATAAGCAGATAGCGCACCTTTGCGGTCTTGAGCTACCCTTGCCCTGAACGCCTCTCAAGGGCTGTGAGGCTGTGCTTAGATTCTCCCGCGGAAACGACGGTCAGACACCACAAGTCCAGAACTACCCAGGCGGTATTCCCCGAGATTAACTGCCTTATTTGGATCTGTCAAATCAAGATAACGATCTGAAGCTATTCATTATGTATGACATTGTCTGAATTGCTGTATTATATCTCCGTAGAGGACTTGCCCAATGGTTCATGCCAAGACAAACCATTTCGGGATAATAATCAAAAGAAAATTTCTCAAAAGCTGTGCAGTTTCACTCGTCAATCGGCCATAACCTCAAAAAATAAAAAGAAAAGAAAAAGAAAATTAGAAACGTCTGGAATTGAAGCGTTTCAGCCTCGCATGTAGCCAAACCGCCCCGGACGGAGCAGGACACCTCATATGGCGACAAAGCCGGCGGCAAAATTTTCCAAGAGCAAGACATTTCGCTCGTCATAAAAGGATTTAGATAACTAAGGATCAGGTCTGCATGTGTTACTAAACCCGGTAGATATCCGAGCGAGTCGGTTATTGCATTCACACACCACGGGGCGACTGATGTTG